ACTCGTTCAACTTCAGTGGATAGACGCAACGCGGAGCGTGACCAATAGCCAGACTGTGCTCGTTAATGCTTATCCGCGGCGGTCAACGCTCATTACATGTTCGCCTAAAGAGATAGACCTACAACTCGGGGTGCCTCAAGGTCGTTCATTCTGTTGTCGCCCTAGAATCTTGCCGATCCATAGTCCTTTTCACGTACTTGCAAACCCCTCAACCCCAGGGCTGGCTGCACCAATGCGTTCGATTTTTCGTATTCGACTAGCAGTACACAGGCATATTTATATTTCGTATAGACCGCCCTTCCAGCTGGTCCGACACCGCTTTTGGTCGGCGCCGCTTCTGCTGCTGCCCACTATAATAGAGAGGGTTCGTTCTGTCAAGAAAGCCATTCAACTGTATACGTAGCGGTGAGGTATGCTATACCCTGTACAGGCCACGTCGGGCCTATCCCAGCGTGTGATTTAATCGCCCTGAGGCAGTCGTAAACGGGCGCTCATGGTAGTTATGCAGGCGAGACAAGGGGGAGGGCAACCGCAATTAGGTGGACGCCAATCCAGCTCAGGACAAACGAGTCGTGTAGGCCTTTAGCACTGCGGTGCCGGTATGCGAAAATGTCAATTCGTCCTCTCAGCCGGCTTGGAGCGAGAATCTGTCGCCTTATTCGATCGCCTGCTGGTTTGTCTTGATCGTTCTTCCACTGCGACAACTGCCGCTTTCTCTGGTTCGCAGTACATCTCGTTTCTTTGCCCCATGTACCTTGTCATTTTTTTTCTTTCGCTTGACTTTTTTTTTGCACTTTCACCATCTGCCCGTTCTCATCTAATGAAGAGATACCAAATGCGTGCCGCTGCTCGATCTTTGATCCGCTCATCGACTGAGACGTGGTTAAGTGTCTAATGCCGGCAGATATCGACTAAGGATCCTTGCGGCAACGGTGCAGATGGAGGACGGTAGCATTGCCTCTAACGATACTAACGTGTATGCTAGTAATAATAATAATAAAAATGATCGAAACAGTTATAGGAGAAGCAGCGGAAACGATACGAGGGGACTGTTCCATTGCAATACGTTATCGCTGTCGTTGATGCTGTTCCAGATGCTGACATCCTCGCTGTTATTTTAATTTCTGTTGTTGCTGATGTTGTCCGTTCTGTCTTCGTAACTTTCTACAGAGAGTAGTGCTATTTACTCGTGAACGGACCGTCTACTGGGTGACCATGTACATCCCTAGCTTTGTTATGGTCACGTCTTCATTTATGACGCTCTGGCTTTCAGTCAAGGCGACACCGCCTAGGGCAATGATCGGTACTATGTCCCCACATACATGCATACGCAGTTGAACATGCAATCGACACATCGCTTGCCCTTAGCAATACACACACATATATTTAATGTTATTTTTTCTGATACTAACTATAAATATGACTCCTTTGATATTAGAAGCGATATAACATCCTAAATCCAACAAAATCTTTTGACTTTCAAGGTCTCGTGTTGCTTTTATGATCACGGTTTAATGTGTTCATTTATGAAATGACAACTTCCCCGCTCGGAACAAGCTGTTCGAGAATACTCTCCTGGCCCATAACGGAGGTCAGAACACAGCAGCTCGACCGTTGGACGTAAATATGTTACTGTTATGTTACCGCACAGTATAAAATACATTAGCATAAGATTGGTATAAAAATCCAGATATATCCAGCAAAACCGCTTTCAGCACTCGGCGTCGAGTAAAGATTGTTTACCTATTACCGAAGTAATGCGTAGAGCGGTGCCAATAAATTTGTAATAGCGTATTATAGTAGGTAATGGCGCCCTATACCCAGCGTTGAATCCTACGCCGTTTGAAAATCTCAAAGTCACTTGCTATACTTCTTTTTATCCTGTCACTAGGCAAATCGGCTGCTCTAAAGCTTTATGTAAGACGTAAATGGAAAAACAAAGGTAGGCGGTGAGTACCCCTACGAGCTTTCCCTATTTAAATGGGCGGGCCTAATATTTAGCAGCACTGACAATAAAGACAATCGCGAACACGCTAATCTGGCACTGTTCCTCGCGGTTCGACATGTCTTAAATGCCCCATTCGTTAGATCGGGAACATCAGAGGTTCCACACAGTTACATCTAACAGTAAGCTCGAAAATTGCGCTCCGTTCTTTTATCAGCTAGATTGTTGAAATTCTCACGGGTACACAACTAATATGACCCAAATCATGTTGAACCCGTTTAACTGTTTAGCGGTGCGGTCTGGCAAAATCGATTTGGGCCAGTGCCTAAACCTATGTCTGACGTACGACGAATTTTCAGGCATAAATTAGCGATATTTACTTAAACGTCATCTTCTACGCTAAAAGTCTCTGAGAATATCTTTTCGCGTCGTGTTAGATTCTCAATTCGGGAACTGCTGCGTGGTGGCACATATCCAAAATACGAAAAAAGAACAAAAATACATTGAACTACGACTTTTATAAAACTACGTAAAAAAATGACAGGCACAGAAATAAGGAAAATATTTTTCTTCGGATATTGAGACTGACTGAATCAGAAAATATCTGACGCGATTGCACCTACATTTACGCTTTGCAACAATCTTGAACCGTCTTATGAAAATCTGATACGCCTTTCCTTCTTTTTTTCCTATCGAACTTTTGCATAAGACAATACAACAGCTATGCTTTTCGTATATGAATATGTACACTTTGCCATAAGCTTCTTGCAGGCCCAGGCTATACGGCATTTAGCGTATGTGGACAGAGAGGTTTATTGGATACAAAGAAACGATTCATTGAAGTTAACAACAACGGAAAGTCTTCGAGATTGCAAGTTTACAAGCGGCTTATACACGACGCATACTTGTCGACACGCACCGATATAAGACATGGACATCGAGTTGTTCATCAACAGTATTCATTGGACGAAAAACGGGCTAGTTTAGCGTTTAAAAGTTACTTCCATTGGTACCGCGGAAAGAATACACATACATTGACGTAAGCATATACTCTCGTGTATACAGTACGTTTTTTGAAAAATGTCATGTATCGGCTTATGGTGGCGTTTCCCAGTTTCCTGAACCATTTCAGCCTATTTGATCTCCTCATTTATTATCCTGTCTCTTTAAACGTATAGGACAAATCATCTGTCCGTTTGTTGTACACGTAATCGTAGGATCGATTGTAGTGGTTGGTTGTTTTCCCCACAAGATTAAAAGCCGTGTTTTTCGCTGGACATTTCAGGCACGACGACCCGTTTTGATTTTCTCTCGAACGCGAGCTCGTTTCCCCAAAACCTACCCGCTACTTCGAACCTGATCGCACTGCACATCTGGGACTGGGTCTCTATAATTTTTATCTATATCGGTTTGCTCGAGTTCATTTTCGTCAATCACCTCGGTCGGCATCCACGTACTAGCGAGGAGGCTGATGCACGATATCTCGAACGAGCGTTGCGGCGGCCCAGTATCAGAGTCTGGGAACGATTCTGTTTCTATTTCCGGAAGCCGAACAGGTAAATTGAATTGGCCACGTCGCGCTTCCTCTACTTTCCTACTGCAAGTTTGTGCCTATTCCATTAACAGCAGTGCTACACGACGTATCCAGACGGTAAGATGCCAGCCGCCGTTGTTTGATATTATTTAAATTCACAGTAATCATTAGAAATACGATGCCACACGAGAGTCGAAGAACAGCGTATTAGATTGCAGCTGGCTCGTATAGCTTTGTTTTTAGTAGAAATGAAACATGAACGTCGTAGGGAAACAAAGCAGGTTCGAGCCACCCAATGTCGCTCGCCTAGCGAAAATTGTGAGTACTGTCACTATATATATGCTTTGTATAGGAACTAATTTCGAAACATGTGAGTTAAGCGGACAATGAAGCTGATTTCTACTGCACTTTCGGCCCTGATACCCAGTAGCCTCATACCGATAGTCTCATCCGAAGTTCTCCTTTCACAGTAGGTTACCTCCTTTCGACCAGCTAGGCATTTTCTATCTACTTCAACGCTGCATATATACTGTAACTTGCTTTTCTGTGTATGGCCATCGTGGGATATATGTTCATCATTCGCGGATGAACGTATCGGTTTGCGCCAACAGCAATAACAAGATGCAATAGCCATGCATGAATAGAATGAATGATCCCGATATGACACTGATAGTATATCACTTGATTATGGAGTAATAATAGCGGCTGTTACAGAAAAAAAAAAAAAGATTGAACAATAAACCGGTATCGGAGCGACATCAACGGTAAAATTGACGAGGAGCAGGCTAATAATACGAGAGGAAAGCTTCTGGAGCTAAAATGAACGATAGGACGATCTATATTTAACCAACTGTTCCATTCGTATCCCGTACAGGATTTCGTACCCTAGATAACAAATAGCACGAGAACCAATAATAACTTAATTTATTATTAAGTTCGTTTACTTTTATTCCTATCGCTGTCGCGTGGTTATGGCAAAGTTTATCGTACGAGCGGTCACCGTTCGTGAATGTTTCAAATTTACGATGACCTAGTTCATGGTTATAATTAGCTCTATTGAGAAATACTTGCTACACTCGAGTGTCAAGCTAATGACAAAAACTGTGATGTAATAATGAGCGAATGCTCAATTCAGAAACCATGCCCATAATGTTGCATCATCGCCAATTTCTAGATAACGGTAGACGAGCAGATATAAGCTGTTTCTAGTACGCGTTAATTTTTCTTCGTGAGATGAAAGATTCTTATGACAAAGCTTATAAAATGTTGAGATTAGGGTGTTCTTAAATCGCACAACCTAATTCTTGCGGTACAACACTTTAGAAAGGTCGGCATATTTTTGTGTCATGTGGCATCGTACATGTGCAGTTATGGTTTGCAGACAGCTGAAAGGTCTTGCGTACGCTAAAGGTATTGACCATGGCCTGGTAATGACCATTTAGAATCTATCATGGACGAGAGCGAGACGAAACTCACGTCGCTTAAAAATCACTATGTGATGAATTGGTGATCGTCACTCACCTGATTTGGAAAAGCCGTAGAATCTCTGCTGAGAATCGAACACCGCGCCTCATGCTTGTAAACCCGTTACAAAGACAGTTTGAGATGTAGAACTTCTAATTGACTCGAGATCCACTAAACGTTGTGATCAATATTGACGCTAGAAACGGAAGGGACGAAGGGCGTTTCCGGCCTGAGTTAACACCTGCCGAACTAGTAGCTTTCTCTGGTCAACAATAGCCTCTGTCATTTTTCTCTTATTTAAATAATTATATTATTATTATTATAGTAGTTTCTTTTTGTGGCGTTTTTTTCTATCAATAATTGTCTTTTTTCTGTTTGCTATTGTCTTCGAGAATGAATGAATGAATGAATGAATTTAGTTTTTATTTTTTGCTGCATTTATTTCGAAGGCAAACGTCACGGGGCGAACACGACCACAGGAGCCCATCACATTTGGTGCGAGAACACACAAGCAGAAATATTCAATTGCACGAAATACTCGCAACGGAGGACTGAGATTATTACTGCTGTTGTCGCTATAAGAATACCAATACCAGTATATGGCCAATATTCCGTAGAGTTCCATATCATATCTTTCTCCGTGTATCGAACATGCCGGCTGAGAAAATAGCCGAGATCAAGGATTGATTGATTGGCCCAACCTATCCTTTCTAAAACGTTTTGTCGGCTTTTTCATAAAAGCCTATTGAAATGGAGTGTTCGACGCTCTGAACAGAGGGGCGTGGTCGGTAAATTCAATCTCTTTTCTTTTCACAAGTACATTCGAAGTAATAGCGTGTGCTATTTCTAGCTAGGTACACGAGGGAACAAGGTTATCGGTAAACAGACAGAAAGCCAACGACAACGAACAGAAACTATTTTTATACACTACAGTACAAACCGCGCGAAAACTTTTCGCCAAGATATGACGGGAATTCTGGAAATCCTGGGAGCGTATCTTGAACTTCGTTGTAGCTAACAGGATTAATACCGACACTTCATATACATAGTGCGCAAGCTCACCTCATATTGAGGATCATTGATTTTTTTGCGTATATCTGAACTAGAATTTACACAAAATGCATATCATGAACGTCTATTTATATTTCTGTTAACGCTTCCAGTTATTTTTCTTATTTGGACAGGTTTTCGGAATCACTTCTTCAGTATAGCATCAAGGATTTGGCACCACGAAAAAGTCTTGTTAACTCATTGTTTCAATCGACATGAAAAGCCAGTATGTTAGCACTATTTACACCTGTTACTAGAAGAACACGGCTTCGGATGCGTACCCAGTCGAATAATAGTCTCCGGACGATACTTCAGTATGCGTGTTAACACACGTGGTAGAGCGCCCCTTCGATCAGTTTATATGAATTGGATAACACTTGTAAATGCCAAGTAATATTTTTCAATATTAAATATCCCAACAATGATAAAAATCTATAGCGGCATGTATAGCTTCACAAAACAGAAAAATCTTTGTGGTAATTGTGAGCCAATCTATAGTTTGTGCTCCAAATATAGATTATCATTATTACTACTTACCAGTGGTACTTACAGTGGTATTACTACGTACGTAGCGCATTTGAAGTTATTACTAAAAATAGAAAAATCAAATGTATCTTTATTACTACATCAATTTACTGTTTTGCCTAAATTCACCTTAAATTGTTTAATATATATATTTATCTAATCCGACCACTGTCCAACAATTTTAATTTCGAGAGGGTGACATACGTTTGATTTTTTTGGTCATATGACATCTTTGCCCTATCGCGACATTGCCCCCCCCCCATCCGCACTTCCGCCGATTATGAATCTTTTCGGTATTCTTTGCTTCTGCTCGTGCTACCGTTACTGCCATCTTTACCTCAGATACGCAAACGCGTTCCCTTTCATGAGAAACGGAGTGACATTGATGTCATGTCACGCGGCGCATTTCCAATTCCTTCGTCATCGACTACTTCATCACCTAGCGAAGGTACTACGCTTGGGACATCGACTTCACCTGCGAGGTCTACAAGGGTCTTATCAGCTAGTACGAAGGCAGAAAAACGCAAGGGTCGCTTACCACACCATAACACTATACCGAAAAAAGCGAATCGCATTAACGGCGTGGACGTTGTCCTCAGAGGACCTGCTCTCTGCTGGCGATTCTTCGAATCAGCACCGATGAAGGGTAGTTGTCAGGTACAGCTTTGCCACTGTCGCTGCTTTCAACGCTCATACTGTATAGCGGAACGTTAGATGATTCGAGTGGCGGGAAAGCGGATAGCAGAGTTTGAGCCCGATGAGCGGAGATGCTAGAGACGCGATATCGCTGACGGTAAACAAAACAGACCACTTGTTCAAAGAGTGATAAAAGTGGGCGACGTTTGCTTATGCTAATGTGTGACAAAATCGCCGTGCGAGAAACATTGTGATCTTGGAAAACAAACGATAGAACATAGCTAGCTTATCCACATTCAAGTGGTATAGTAACTTTGCAAACATAACACTATACAGAAATTCACTTTATAGACATGATTTCATCAGTATGATGAACTAAGCCAATACGTGAAACAGGTACGCAAGAGAACTGCAGCCACTTTTGTGTTCATCGATAGAACACCGTGCAGGAAATGCTTCCGTTAAGTTAAACTTTTCAAGGCGTATTTATCAGGTTAAACCCTACTTCTAGCACAGGTTCAATGCAACAAATCATTTTTAGCGATACTGAAAATCGTCCCCACGACAGAGCGCTAGCTAGTTGATACCGAAATTGAATACGACAGTCGTTTGGTTCTAATAGAACTGTTGTATTCTAGCAAATAAACGATTTAGATTTGAGATTAAAAACGACCAATTATAACATGGCTAACATGATTAGCTAGATATGAAAACATTTCGGTTCAACATGTATAAATAATTCTAAAAAGAGCTTATCCTTCTGCATAGTGAAGTCAGCGGAAGCACAGCTAAATGAAGATTAAATGAAGTCTGCAGTTTACGCTGTTGCCAAGCCGTCCCGCTCCTGGTGGACGAAATAAACAGTTCCATATATTACTGAGGTAGACTGCTAGAAAAAAGGTATCACGGTTTAAAAATAAATCAAGTCGGTTATATTGACCTTAATAACAGCTGGTCATCGATGTGGCTGGCTGACTAGTCTTTGAAAGTGGGCTTGTCGCATGATTAAAAAGAAGTCCCCAGTTATACAGTTTTCTGATTAAAGTCAGATGCTTTAGGGGACGCTAATGTAAACCGTTATCGTTACTCTGCATCATGAAGCAACACTGAGCGCGAAGATCCTTCTACTTTTCCTTGGTTAAGGTAAGGTGAAGGAATACACTTTTGGGTCAATATCGTCGTCAACAATTTGGTTACTTACCCATTTCCGAAAAATTGAAATTGAAAAATTGAAATGAAAAAATTGTATTGTGACCTATTACGAAAATATGCTCCATATTGTTGAGCATTCTAATTTTTCTTATTTTTTAACCATATTTGTATCACAGTATAAATTAGCGGGAGTAACATCTTGACGACAAACTTCGTCGTAGAGAAAAAGCTATTCTTTGCAAATCCGACCAAAGTATAGTCTATGTATAGCGTCGATGCAAAAACAATTACCAATTTGCTGCTCGTAAATAAAATAGTGAATATAGTGGGTGTTCTATGGGAAAATGAAAAGCAAACCATTTATAGAAACTAATTATTATATGTTAACTCAATTGTAGGTGATATCGTCAGAAACATTTTAGTCGATTTTCGTATGGTTTTTTGGTAATTTTGAGGTTTGGCTTAACGATAAGGCATATTAACTCAAAGCACCATTAATTAGGTCATAGCCCTTATAGGCTATGAGCTCTCGTGTCATAGGCCACTCATACATAGAAGCATTTGCACATCGTAATTTTACAGTGGAGTATCAACGTACTATCTAAACACTCAGTGCTGAAAAAACTACAGGTTTTTTCAGCACTGAGTTGTCATGCTTGCTACATGCTAATGTCTTTTAAAGGTTCACTTGAGCATTCTCTAGTTTGGTCACGTAATAATTAACTCTTAAAATCACTAGTTCATTCAGGCTAATTTACGGTTTACAAAGAAAATTCCTCTTATTTTCTATCGTTTACGATTTCCATGCTCTGTCTCTTCGTTAAGTCATGTACCCCTAAACAACGTCAACGGGACCGCTTTTCCGCACCGTCAAGAAATGGCAAAACGCATTGCGGGTAAGATTGTTACCGAAAAGTAATTATACACGTTTTCCCGAGTTATTCCGTCGTTGGCTAGCATTGACGGCCGCTTCAGTCAGTGAGCAGGAGGAACATATACCTTTTAACTACGTAGATCCTACTGGGCCTAATAATTATGTGACCGTGTATGCAACATATAGTCTTACGAAACAGGACTAACGAGACCACAGTAAGAAATAAACCGTTGGCATAATCAAGAAACAGCTCGATTTCGCTTCTACTTGCGAAACGTGAACACAGAATATTCAGAAACCACTGACGATTTCAAAATCAAAGTTTTTTCTTGTTAGCCCCTACCCGCTACGATCGGATCGGACCGAACCGTCCGAAACTCTGAGCTTTCTAGCATTAGTAACCTTTTCTAAATGAAAAATTTGGTAGAAAGCTAGCTATTCATTGAGGTAGTTTTTTATGCGTGCTCTACGTGCATATATTTTCTTCGAAATCAAGTCTAAAAGTGTTTCCCGCTCAAAAAGACTGACTAATGTGTTTGAACTTATGTTTATAACTTTTACGATTTGTATGACGTAAATTTCATAGACGCTTAATGAAAAAGCTGCGGGTGGCGCGGCCAGTTTACTTCAACCAAAGGCAGCATGGCTAAAAAGTCAAAAAGCATTTCTACGTCCTGTTCTTTTACCCGAAACCATTGATTTGGTGGCGAAGTTATTTTTACAACTGAAAATGTGGAAAAGTGAAGTTATTACAACAAACTTTTAACTAAAACGGCTTGTCACACTGTCAGAGTATATTCTCTGACCAATCGAGGAGTATGGTGACATTTCTCACTGTTTTTCAGCTAGCGTGCATATAATACAGAATCTTGAAAAGTGCTCAAATAGAATTCATCGGAAACGTATTGAGCGTTCGTCCAGCTAGATAACTTTTAACTTACATATCTCGGACAATATGGGGCATGCTAGGTGTATATTGGTGTCATTT